GTACCTGTGCGCTTCAGCTCACCTGCTCGGCCCCAGCTTTATTCCCAGATCAAAACGGTCGCTCACAGCAGTGAGTCCTTACCTGTCCACCCCCGCACCAGACGCTTCTGGCATGTGTTCTGCAACGTCCCGTGTCTCACAAGTACTTTCCACTCTGGTGGTCCTTACCCAGGTTCGAGGAGTCGTCGTCTCTGTTTGGGTGTCAGCTGTCAGGAGCTGGCCTGCTCCCAATCCCTGGGCCAGTGTACAACGAAGGATAAAGACAAACACGGTACGTCCGTGGGGTCTGGGAAGATCGCAGCGCTGTGGCTGAGATCCCAGCATCTGCCAACTGCAAGTACTCGTTGGGGACATAACATCAGGGGTCAGATAGGGAAGTGCCGGGAACAGCTGAGCCCGCAAGTGAGAACGTGAGCAAGGCCTTGTGAAGACGGGACAAAGACATTCCAGGCAGTAAATCTCTGCTTCGGGAGAGCTGTTTTGTCTGCAAGGCTGGCAGTGATGGCCCTGGAATTCTGAGTGGGAGTCAGGCCCGCAGCTGTAGTGTTGTCTTTCCCTCAGAGGTGTCACAGTGTCTCAGGTCACTGTAAGCTCCGTTGGTGCGGAGAGCCAAGTTTCTGCACGCTGGCCGCTGGCTCGTCAGGCAAGTCACATAGGCCTGGGTCAGACTCATAAGTTAATACAGAAAGCCGATTGATTAAGTCTGCAGCCTGCACGGGGCACCTCAGTGTGGTCCCCATCCCTCCAGCACTTGCTGTGGGTCACAGTGCCAGCCGCGGCTGTGCAGGGAGGCTGGCCTTCTCCCGCCCTTTCCTGTGTCACTTCAGCTGCACCCTCAGTGGCTCGTGTTCCCTGGCCCAGACTCCCTTTTTAGTTGCATGGCTCATCCACAGACTTGCGAATATGATTCTCTGGCCTCATTATGGAAGACAAAACAGGACTGTGATTGACCCAGAACCACATGTACGATGTATCAACTTTCCAAAGTGCTCTTTCTGTCCCTGGGTGGATGTTTCCTCGGGATGCAGTCTCCTGAAACTCTTCCCCAGCTACTGAGTGATCCATCCATCATCTGTCCATCCGTTAAGCAACAGATATTTACTGCACCCGCACTAGCTGGGCTCTTCCCTGCATCACTCTTTGAGGATTCAACAGTAAACCAAACAAACCCTCTGGACCCCATGGTCCTTATATTCTATGGGGAAAAGACAGACCACACATAGACAAGTACAGTGGGTGTTCCATGAGCTGCAGGTGAGTTCTTTTGGAAGAATGAAGCAGAGATGGGTGTAGAGCACGAGGGGTGGGTGGTGATGTGTACTGAGGACTTGGTCTTTCAAGCAGGATCTGCAGGGAAGGACTTAGCACAATGTGAGGATTGAGTGACAACCAGAAAGCAGAGAATGGATGATGAGCGCAGTCCAGGCAGAGGCACACCAAGTGCCACGGGGGTGTGCTCTGGCACTGTACAACCCAACAGCAGCGCTGTGAAGAGTATTTCAGCGTTGCCGTATAACAGAACGTCAGGGATTGCGACGGCTTTTGCTCAGGGCTTCTTGCCCAGAATTGCTTTGCCAACTCTTCCTCTGCTTCCATAAAAATTATTGGATTATTTTTTGTAGTTTTGTGTGGAAACATCTTCATATTTTCATTATGACTGTCTTACATCTGGATATTCAGTTTGAGATTATAGCCATTCAGAGGATCTTCCTTCTCTTTATCCAGAATCACAGGATATATTTCCATTTCTTGATGTCCCCCTCACTCGCCTTTTCCAAAGGAGTGTACTGCTGATCTCTGGCAGAGGAAGACCCACAAAAATACATAGTTTTGGATGGCAGACTGAACAATTACTTCCCAAAATGAGCATGGCAATAGGAGTATGAAAGGTAAAATTTAATGATAAAAAGCAACCGATATTGTACACACAGTATATAAATGGCTCTGATGAAGAGAAAAAAACAGGGAAAATTATGGACTACACATAATCTGTAATTATGTTGGAATATGTATAGATAACTTCTTAGAATGTGAAAAACATAGTATTTGCTAATTGACATGTTCAAAATGATGGACAATTAAGCTCTTGTACAGAAACAACTAGTAAGAAAATTATAAAATATGATATCCATTTACAAAATTCTTGCTAGAATAATGGACTGTGTGCAGCAAAATTTCAAATACAAGCTTGTGGAAGAATGACAACAGTTAAGGAAAATTCAGTCTTGGAATCAGCTTCCCCCACAATTACTAAACACAAGAAAAGAAAGAAAGAAAAAAAAAAAACAAAAACAACCTACACAATACCGAGATTACTGTCCTGTAAAAAATACAAGTCACCTCACCTTTGGATCTAAAGTGCAAAATAAAGACAATTACTATGTACTTTAAGAGACAATATTAAACCCCTGTGCTATTGCTTATAAGAAGCAATAGAATTATGTGACCACAATATTTATTGTTTTGTTTTGTCTTGTTTTGTTGGAGACATGGCCTCATTCACTATGTAGCCCAGGCTGGCCTGGGACTCACAATGATCCTCCCTGCCCTGGGCACTGAATGCTGGGATGACAGGTGTGCGCCTACAACATTCACCCTTAAAAGAGAATTTAAAATAATGTAATTCAGAGATCTCTTTAAAGACCCAGCTTAAAACATACACACTTTAGAATATCTTCTACACACATGTATTTTCTGTACAAATAATTGACATTTCATCTTTATACAACTCATTCTTTAGGTTTATACTGTATAAGAAGCAATCAGGATTTATGGATTTTTTCGGTTTGTTTTTTTTTTTTTTTTTTTTTTTTTTTT